CTAAAACAGGGAAATCACAACATAAAAGCAGATGATGGTAAATTCAAAATATATCACCTTATCTTTGTACAAAACAAGCAATTATAAATCAGAATAAAGCATACAAAAGCGTTGCCATATCCTTTTTTTTCTTGTAGTGAATTTAACAGTACAATAATTGATTACTCATTTCCAACTTGCAAGTACAGTAACTGATCATGATCATGAGTTTTTTTTTCTTCTCCTAGTCCTTGGTGAGAAACAACTTCAGATGGCAATAATAGATAAGGCAAAATACACATCATCTTCTTCAAAAATATTTGTAGTTAACCTGCTTTTCCTGAATATTCGCTACATCAAATGTTAACTTAGACCAGCCGAGGATATGATTCCTATGGCACTGATTACCCTATTAGGGAGAAATATCAAGTACAGGGCAATGAGGCCCACTCCAAGCCTCCTGGTAGGACGCATATCATTCCTTGGTAAAACAACAAGTGCCCAGATAGGTCCTGAGATGAGAAATCTCATAGTATAGAAGAGGCTTCTGTTTTGTGGAACAATGTACAAGCCAGGTTTCTTTGATCAGGCTCCAAGCAGCATTGAGATCCCCAAACCACCAAGTATGTTGAACATCAGACCTGCATAGCATCCAGACAAGGTGATCTACATACCATCCCCACCATTCATTGCCAATGAAACATTTGACACTAAATCACCCATCGAGTTGCCCTATGCCAATACAGTTAATCCAAGGATTGATGGATTAACCCCTAGAATTACACCTAATCCTACCAACAGAGCAACAAGCTCATTTGCAATCATGTAGAACCAAACAATACTCATCAAAAATCCACCCAAAACCAATGGAAGTAAAAACTTCTAAGGTGGACGGCGTGATCTAGTGTACCGAAATGCAAGAAAACTGAGTGCACAACCAATGGAAACACTAAGCATATAAGCAACCTTTCTGCTTTTAGAACCCAGAGTCTTGAGTACACCAGAGAAATGCCAAAAGAATGGGAGCAAGTGAAGCACTGCCTACAACGTAGAGACCTTCGACTAAGATTCCTCCTCAACTAGAGGAATTGTCAACCGGCGTGGCACTTTTAAAGGCAACTCCCTTATCGAACATAGTTTAGAACATGAGAATAACGAGTGCTCAGTTTCTATGCCATCATCAACCCAAACCCACACAAGTCTTTCATTGTCAAACACCTTAGCTGACTGATTTGAATAAATTGTGACATTTGACACCCACATCTACTTAGGCAATGCATTACGGGACACGGTTGTATCACTTTCTCTGTCCATGTCAAGCAAAGTACTATAGATAGAGTCATCCTTTTGGTTCCCCTGAGAGAATGCACTTCCTTTGACAAGAAACAACAATGTAACAACAACCAATTTCAACCTCCGAGCTTGTTTCCTCAAAATCTCATTTGCAGCAACAACAAATGCATAAATTGCATAAATCAAGACAAATGTGATGGCTCCCCCCACAATCACCTTACCAACATACAAAATCAATGAAAGTGATACAAGAGTAACGAGCTGCACGTGAAATATGTGGCATGGGATACACTTCTTACATTGCTCTGACTTGGATCTCCATATAAGTGCAATTGCTTTAAGTTATTCACACTTTAATGTATTTTCTTCTATGTATTATGTTGTGGGTGTAATATTTAAATAATTTACCCTTGTATGTGATTTAAAACTAGTTTGCTTGAATTAGGTTGTACTAACTGCTTATAATCTAAAATAAATTCTAATACTAATCATGTTAGCCGTGTCATGTTCGGATTGACACGACCTCAAGTAGGTTAGGTCAATGTTATGATATTTGACACGTTTAATTAAATGGATCATTTTAGTGTATCATGTTAGTGTTGGGTGTTTTAGACACAAACCCGCGATGACACGACATGACATGACATGATTCCTACCCCCTCTTGGGATGAGGATATTCTTAGAGTGCGTTTGGATCAAGGATTTTTGAGAGATTTGTGGAAGGAAAGAAAAATAAAATAAAATAAAGGAAAAGATGTATGAAATAGAAGCTAAGTTTTTTCCCTTCCCTATCTATTTTTCTCCCCATCCACATAATCTTAGAATTCTTAATTTAAACACAACCTTAAAGTTTCAAAGTGAAACACTGGAAATTACTTGGACTAAAAAACAAGAAAAAAGAAAAAAAACCAGCAAGTTAGAGAGAGAACTAGTTAATAATACCTGGTGCGTTAAAGTTTTTAAATATCATTGTCCTAATGTTTCCCGTTGTTACTTTAAATGCCCGAAATTAAATTGAGAAAACTTATCAAATTCTTGAATTTTTGGATGAAGCATGATATATCGAGGAGATTTTTCAAAATTCAACAAGTATTAGATTCTCTGAGTGTTGAGAATGAATATTAAAATTAAAGACTCGACTCAGGAAATTGAACAAAAAACACTACTCTAACTTTACTTTGAGAGTCATTAGAACCAAAGAGAAACTAAATTAGATCCACGTGTTTTAACTCTCCATATAGCTATAGAAAAACAAGAGGCACTTCAACATTATATTAATCCGTATGTTGCAAAAGAATCATTCCACAACTACAATGCCAAAATAAAATTAAAGTTGATAGCCATAGACTGAGGAATAATATTATCAGCCATTATGACAATAATGGGAAGAAATTAGAAGAGATAAATGAGATTAAGGCTTTGAATACACACACGCACACACACACATATTATGTATGTCCACGTATACATATTTCGTCTTTTTCCTTTAGACAATTTTATACTTCACTCAATAGGAAAATTTTTTTTTTTGGGGGGGGGGTAGGTATTATGTTCCAAGTGCCAAACTAGCATGTTGCCTCAGAACATCAACTAAATTGAATACAGGATCAGAACTTTGTTCAAGTAATTGTGCTTCTACATCATTTATATGAGCAAGTAACAAAACATATTGTCTCTCAAGAATGCTATTGAAAAGTGAATACCATGTGAACACTGAGGCCCTTGTGGCAAAGACTAGAAGAAAGT